TCTCCACCTTTGAAGTTTAAGAATAATTGTAATTTTATAGTATTTATTTGAAAGAATTAAAACAGATTCATGTCTATCCTTGTATTATTCAGCTGGTTGAGAATGATATGGGATTTTGAAAGTAATTGGTAATTAAATACTTTTTGGAGAGAGTAATTAGTACAGTAATCTAATTACACTGTTGAAGAGGTAATTAGTAACTAGTAATGAATTACTTTTTTAGAGTAACTTACCCAACACTGACAGGCATAATCGCTTTTGAGCGTGTTTATGAATGGCATTTATTTAACGTTACATTACTGTATATATAAATATATGACTTACCCCAACCCCGTCCCTAAACCTAACCGTCACTGGGGTTAATAGCATTTATGAGTCTTCCCCTACCATCCTAGGAAAAAAATATCGCTCCCCAGATGTACATTTTGCTCCGTTTCGCTCGGACATTTGACGGCGTGTACAGACACGCGGAATCACTCGGACATTAATGGCGTAGACATACACGCGGATCGCTCAAAATGCGTAGATTTAACATTTAACACGCAAAACTCATGATGTCATGTTGGACAGATGGGCATTCTGACACCGCTTGTTTGCTAACCACAATGCACTCTTTTTTTGTTGTTGTTGTAATTAATCTGCTCACTGTAAAACTAAAATAGGCAACAAGGAGTTTATGGCAGTAGTTGCATATCCAAAACTGTGACCACACAAGTCTGTTTACAAATGCGATCGAGAACCGTGCAACCATATATGGCTTTCTCAGAGTTTGCTTGTGTGTTGATTCAATTAAAAATCCACATTTTACATATTTATAAATATTACGTAATTCATTGATGCCCATTTGTCGTGTACTGTATAATACACTGACCAATGTGGAAAAACAAGCTTAAGTTTCATTGGACAATATGAAGGGGAGTAATTTCTTGGTCTTATTCATAAATCAATTAAAAACCGCATAGACTCTGTCTTTTTCAGTTTTTTTTTTTTTAAATCTGACTTTTTCCATGTTTAAGTGCTATAATTGGGTCCCCGGTGCATCTAACGACCCAGAAAACATGACAAGTGACAACCCAGTAACTTTGTTTTGGTAAGCTTTTCTCTGCAGACATGTAAAAAAAATAAGCGATTATTTTGCAATTCTAAGATCTTATTATAATATTACCGCCGCTTGATCTGCACGTTGACGCCGCCATGATTTTGGCAAGACACAGCAGTGTAACCAGTTCTAACACAATGCCAATAGTTAAAGCAAAGCATGCAAACGGTTCTGTCCTCGACTGCATAGACGAGCACGACCAAAAAAATGTCATAGCTGTCTTATGAAGACCTCAGGGTACTATGCCACCTTGTAAAACGTAAAAAGTTAAACATGACGGGACATGCAAGTCGACGAGATGAATCAATGTAAATCCACAACTACATAAATATATCCACTAACCATTTAGAAACGTCAAGGAGTGTTTTGTTTCTTAAATTTCACACACACATTCTAGGGACACCATAGATTTATATTACATCTTGTGAAAAGGGGCCTAATATGTCACATTTAAACAAAGGTGAAATAGCTAAAAGGAAAAAAAGTCAGTGAAAGTGTGTAAAGTGACTACAAAGCACTTCACAAAACCTTGCAGAACTGGAAGTCTCATTTATTTTAACTAGTGTTCATTTACTCTAATTTATGTGCTGAATATTGATATACTATTTGATGAAACTATCCTAGTTGGTTAAATTCAAGTCCAAATGCCATCTACAGGCCTATATGTGAAATATAGGCCGTTAGGTCAAGAAGTATGGAAGAAATGTAATATGTAAAATGGCAATGCATTTCTGTACTTTAAATTTACATTTTCTATTTCATTTCTAACATTAAAAACATTCAAAAGTTGGTTCAAAATGTAAATTTAAATACAGAAATACATTGCAGTTTGCATATTGCATTGTCATTTTGCATATTACGTTTCAAATTGAATATTGCTACCCATATATGCTTCCATAATGACCACACAAAATGGTGACGTGGAATATAATCTTAGTGATAAATTCCTCCTTTTTACATTTGAGCCCCTGAACTCTCTGCTCGTCTCTGCTCCACAACCGTATCATTTGCTACTTGGCAAAACAACCAAATAATTATTCTTAACATGGTTAGAGCACTTTATCTGAAGATCTACTGCAATTGAAATAGTGAGTAATGCATTTTTGTACTATTGACCCTCTGTTAAATCATAGGCATTATTCCCAAAACTGTGAAAGAGGATCGAGGTGAGTTTTTTTTTTTTTTCTTCCAGTAGAATGAGTCAGATTTTCCATGTCAGCACGCACTTTGGTAGCGCCAGCGCGTTTCACACTAATACAAGAAGGGGCCCTTAGATTATACCAGTCTGAGTGCCGCTGAAAATAGAATCAAACGGTGACGTGGACAAGACAGGTTTAAATCAGAAACAAATTGCTTTGGGTCCCACTGGTGATGTAATTAACTGAAATCAGCATTTGTGCCTCTCCTTAAACTCCTTCAAATATGCCTGATGTCTTTAGACAAGCTGTTCAACTAGTCTCAAGCCAATACAAACTCTCCTATACTTAATCTTCTTTTCAATTATAAAATGGCTGGTGATTACTCAATCAACCTGGATGCCAGATGGTTTCAGCATCACTGAGGATTGATGGCATCTGTGTCAGCAATATACTCTTCCATTCCACTGTTGGGGAGTTTTTTTTTTTTTTTTTTGAATTTTTTTTGCTCTTTTTTTTTCAACAGATAGCAGTAGCATGATAGAATTATGTATCACTCTTTTAATGTCATATTGTGCTACTCCTTGTGTGTGGGAAGCCTTATTCATTTTGGTGAATCAGTTTTTGCAGATGATTTCCTTCATTAAACTATTCGTTTGAAGGCTTGGTCCCAATTGGCACTCTAAGCACCACTTTAGTCCACACTCTTTTTGACTGTCAGGTAGACGTCTGCTTAGCAGAAGTGCGCAGGCTTTCAAGTGTACTTATTTGCTGCAAAATAAATATTTAGTTAAACACTGCTGTTTATAACTATAGCTGCATTTCCATTCCTGTATGTTCACACCGCCGACTTTCATTCATTTTCAATGGAAGCTGGCTTTTCTGTCAAATCCATTGGCGTCACGTTTTGGGCGTTTTGACCATCAATCAGAAAGTTTAAAGAAGCTTAACTTTATGGTAACGAGCTGTGTCAGCGGCAAAACGCCAGCAACCGATCGACGTCCTTCGTACTTTTTGACAAGCGTCCTCTACAGTGCGGCCAGAGCTTCGTTCTTTGACGCTCAAGTCGACGGCGTTGTGAACGTACAGTTACCCTTCAAATTACGCTACAAGATACGCCCAGTGGAAACACGTCAATTTGGCAAAAACTCCCATATATCGCAAA